TTTAAACTCTCCGCTATCCTGAAACCATATTCCACACCCATAATTCATTGATGGCATGATTATGCTATGCCATAACACATCACCGTACTCAAATCGATTGAAACTGTTGTGTTGGTTAATTATTGATTTGCCATATGCTAAGATTGTCATTCCTTTTTTATAAACTTCAGTAAATTGTGTATGATCATTCAATGTTTTTGATATGGTTATGCCTAAATATTTGTACGTTTTACTTTCTTTTAATGTCAAGTTTCCTAGTTTCCAAATTGTGTTCCTTTTTGTGGAGTTTCTTGCCAAAATACATTATCTGTGACTTGGATTGGTTATAACTGAGTTTCCATTTACTAGCGAACTGAGCTGCTATATCAAGCATAACTAGTAAATGTTATAATTTGTATTGGTTGATCAAGTGAACGATCACGTTTGATTTTGATCTTCGATTAGCTTACCACAGAAAAGGTTCTTTTGTTTGCAATCAATATTTTTATGAAACCTGTTGATTCCTAATCCCAAGTTAAACTTTTTCATTGTGATTTGGTTTAATCTGATGAGCATCATCCTTAATAACAGCTACAGATTTGAATGAATTTCATTTATGATGCATTTTGTAGCTGCATGTGGACGGCCTCGTTATTTGATATTCTAGGTAGGTGTGTGGACGGTGTCTGGCGTCATGATGCAGTACGGTGACGTAAATGCTACCAATGGAATACTGCAAGGTCTCATGGGTATAATGTATCCAATACCAATGCTGAATATATATGAATATTTACAAAAGGATGTCAATTTCACATTCATGAAGAAAGTTATTGACGTTGCGGGTCTCAATGCTATGTTTACAGGTAGGATTACTGTCACGTTTAAAGGACGATTGTCATCGCGCCGCGCTCGTTCGATATGGGATTCATAATGACGTATACAACGCGTGTAAAATACATTGTTTATTTACATGAACTTCGAACTCGTGCTGCACGATGACCACCACCCTTTAAGAGATTATATCACCCTGGTATGACAGACTAGGAAACGAGCTTGTCAAGTTAACATTTTCCACTCGGTATGAATAAATTCATATTCATAGTATTGGTTTAAAGTATTGACGTATATCAAGGGTCTCAATATCACAATTTCGAAAAAACACAATACAGTAAATGCAATACATCGTAATAAGACACACAGCCCCATTAATAAGTGGCAGACTAGTATTCTCTGTCATCTAAAGTTTCTGCCAGTCCACATATTAAACTGATTGTATATTTTATAAAATGGTTAAATATGTTTCGTTTTACATCGCTAGGTGTAATCATATGAATTGTCAACATCTTCCTATAATACATGGCTTTAACTGTAATTATGTACGAGAGTATATCTTTTTTGAAATGTTTTGATAGAAACTGGGGCGGGTGGTGGTGGTGGTGGTGGGGGGGGGGATATTGATGCATGTACAATTTTATAACTAATTGAATAACGATTAAACATGTTTTCACAGAAGGGGCATATACCCTATTTGCTCCAGTGGACGCAGTTTTTGAAAAATTGCCAAAGGAACAGATTGATGTCATATTATCAAATACGTCATTTGCTAGACATGTGGTGTACAATCACGTGATTAATGGCACTGTATATAGTGCAGGGTTCTTTAATGACCAACCAATGCCAAATATGAATGGAAAAGACCTGGATTTCTATACAGGCCAGTTTAAATCAGGTACCGGTATTACATCATTTTTTGAGATTTCAACGTAAAGAATCAAAAATATATTAACAAGAATAACAAACAAAAGATTGATAAAATCATTGAGAAAAACATTGGAGCCATACAGTGAAATGCACACAACTGGAGATGTTATAAACGTTTTATGCTATTATTTAAATTAAATTGAATGAAGCTGACCAATCCAGAAACGATATTGTGACATCATCGTGAGTTCTAATATTAGTAAGTTAGTTCCAATCAGTAAGAACTTTATTTTGAATACGTGGGCAGTCACAGTTGCCATGTCACAAAGAGAATAGTACATCTTTAATAGCAATATTTTTTTCTGTTATCATCGCTGTCAGTAACTATTACAGGCTGGTGATATTTTACCTTTTCGAATTTTAAGTTCTTAGTTGTTTTTCTTATTGCCTACGTTTTATCTAGATCCATTAAATATATTGTGTTGTATCACATAGAAGAAAATACACTGCTAATACACCATTTTTTTTACATTTTTAGGAGAATTGACTGTGAATGGGACCTTGGTAATTCAGCGAGATTTGCAAGTCACCACTGGAGTGATTCATTCCATAGATGGAATTTTATTACCGTAAATTATTTAAAATATTTGTGCAAAAAAAAAAAATCAAAATGAAAAATCTATGGTACATATTTAGTTTTAAACACGCAAACACTAGACACTGATGTGAGGTTAACCTCAATGGAAATATGTGAGTACATACCTCCAGCTTAGGTCTTGGAGAAATATTTACAGGGCAGAGTGAATGAAAAATGCACAAACACAAAAAAACATACCATGAACGTTCTTTATTTCAAAAGAAATATCCCCTCAAAATAAGTTTTCACAGCCACCATATTTTATTTACAAAATACTATGTACATGCAATAAATAAATAACAACATAACTGTTGCTTTCAAGTCAACTATTTTATATTCCATGATAAATAAAAAATATAAAGTCATTTGACATAAACCACACCTTAGTAACTGTGTATACTGCTAATTACATACATCTTAGATATATGCAACAAAGATGTTAATAGAAAACCAGTTCCAAATAGTGTCAATAAAATAACAGTTTAACTGTAATGGAAATACAGTTTAATTCAATAACCCCCAATAAAAAAAAATATATTTATCTACAGTGGAATTATCACCTTCTTCATTACAAATAACCAAACTCCTGATAATCCAGTCAATGCATGCACACACAACCCAAATTTTGTGTTTGTATCCCACAAATGTATAGAACAGCGAAATAAGCTGGAAATAGATGAAAACTGTAGCATGTTTATTCAGCTCAAAACCAGAATATCTTTAAATGCTAGATTTGATAAAATATGACACCCACTATTTCACAATAATTTGATTTTATCAACTATCTCAACTTTGAAGG